TTTGACTGGTAAACTGCAGTAGAGAGCAAGATTAAACACAACATCTTTGGGCATGATTTTTTCAAAGGACTTTTTAAAACCTAAGCTAATTTGGAAACCTACCAGTTCTGTGGATCTTTAAAAATAGAGCCAAAAAAAGATAAAAGATTTTTTTTTTCCATTAATAACTCAGAGTTACTGAAGTAAAAAATAGTTTGATATTTTAAGAGCTTTATAGTCTATACACCTAGCAACTAACACAATTAAATTTTCAGAAATTCCACGCATAGCACGAATTCCACTGTAATTCACTCTTTAAAGAAAAAAGAAAGGCCCCAAAATAGCACTGAAATTTTAGTAAAGGACAGCTTCCACACACTAAAGTGTCTTGTCAACTGTAAGAACTTTTGCTGCAAATCTTTCCTTTTTCATGTTTCATCTTCAAAATTCAGTTGCACAGACCTACAACAGGACTCCAGAAAATTCTGGTGCAATTCTTTCCAGGTTAATGGCCATTTTGGAAGTACAGACTTTTCTGCAAACAAACAGAAGTTTGTTTCACAAGATTTTAAACTTTTTAATGCAAAACACTAGAAAATATAGAATCATGGAATGGTTTGGGTTGGAAGGAACCTTAAAGATCACCTCATTCCAACCCCCTGCCATGGGCAGGGACACCTTCCACTAGACCAGGTTGCTCCAAAGCCTGTCCAACCTGGCCTTGAACACTTCCAGGGGTTGGGCAGCCACAGCTTCTCTGAGCAACCTGTGCCAGGGCCTCACCACCCTTATCTTCCCATATCTAATCTAAATCTCTCCTTTGTTATTTTAAAATTGTTTCCCCCTGTCCTATCACTATCTGTCCACTTAAAAAGTCACTCTTCCTCTTTTTTATAAACCCCCTTTAGGCACTGGAAGGGGCTCTAAGGTCTCTCCAGAGCCTTCTCTTCTCCAGGATGAAATATCCCAGCTCTCCCACCCTGTCTCCAGAGCAGAGGGGCTCCAGCCCTCTGAGAATCTCCATGACCTCCTCTGGATCCGCTCTAACAGTCTAAAAACAGCTTTATAATCAAGACAGAAAAGGAAAAAACATAAGCATTGCTGTCTAACCCAGTATTCCAGCTGTTCCCTCCAGTACAATCAATATTCTCTTCTCAGAGAACACAAAAAACCCACCAAACCACTAAGAAGCAAAGCAGAAAATAAGGCACCCACAACTGTGGCTTAAAATGGATGGTTTAAGTGAACCAGCCTCAGAGCTGGGCACTGTCACTGTACTGTGGAAATACTCAGCACGTTTTCCAGTGGAGCAGCTGGTGTGAGCACACCCTGGAGAAGGACATACCCTCACAGATCCGACAGGCCAGCTCCAGAGATCCTACTCACCACGCTGGCTTTCAACAACCAACTCTCTCCCAAAAGCCAGCTGAAGCTTGCTTCAAGCCCAAAAACTAAGTTACCAGAGCAATCACCGAGCTTGATCCCTCAGCGTTTGACATCTCTCACTAATTCTCTAAGAGTTTGCAGGAAATAATTTCAAAAGCTCCCTCAAGAAAATAAGTTTTGAGCTGTCGTTTTTCCATTCCGAGCCATCCCTGCACTATTTCATAGCTCTGATAATTGTACCACTGACTAAACTCCAACTGGGAATAGCTGTTTTTATCATCACTATTAAAAACAGTCCCTCACACTGTTAGGAATCTGGAAACTCACTGGAGCTGCATCCCACCCTTCGGCCTCTCAAAACACCACAGAGCAACGAAACTATGTGCTGAAACCAGAGGATCCCTGTGCTGAACAACTCCTGTAATTTCTGGGTAATTAGAACTGCCTCCCAAGCAAACCATGGAGGCTTGGTTATTGATTTTAGAGGGGCAAATGGCACCAGAGCTCTGAAAGTCAAAGTTAATTTATAGTTTTCCATACTGGACTGGGAAAGCTGAGTTACTTTTAGAACTGGAGCAGTGATGTGCATGTTAAAAAGCCTTACATATTCACCTAGGTTTTTTCAAAAGCAAAGAGATCATATGCAGTTTTCCTTTCCTAAAAGCACATTATCTAGATTTTCACACCTTAACCAGAAGAGTGACTGACAGCTCTCAGAGAAGCAGCAAGATGCAGAAAAACAAGAGTTGAAAGAAGAGTGGGTTTAAAAAACAGCTTTTAATTATCTGAAGGTACTGTTGCCAAGTAGACAGCAAAGAAGCTGTGCATCACATACAGATGGGAAAATTCCCCCAGGTTTATTTCACAGTCAATTACAGTGGATTAACCTATTAGGAAGAACAAAATATATTTTTTTTTTGTGGATGCAAGTTTCAACAACTTGAAGAATCGTTGCCACTGGTACTTTGATACACAGGATCCACAATCTGTTCTATCACACTTCCAGTCATCACAGTACATAAACACACCCTAGAAGCAACCTCTCCCTCTTTTTTAATGCATCTTCTGTCATTATTTCCTTCTCAGGGAACTGCATCCCCTCCCCTCCTGGCTCCCCACTTTGAGTATCATTTCATATATCAGTATTTTTTCTACTGTTGTTAAAGAACAGCAGCAAGCACCTTCAAACTTCTACACACACACCTTTGCACACACTCACATATATTATTCACATCTGTCTCTGCAAGATGCCACTGTGTAAGGTTATTTGTCAAACAGAAAAGCATTGCAGCAGTGAAAAATCAGCTTTCCAGGATCCCTGTGCTAAATCCTGGGTGTGCCTACTTTTGTTTGGTATCAAGTTCCTTCTGCTGGCTCTGCTGCAAGAGCAAACTACAGGGATAGTTAAGTTTTTCCCCACCTCCAAAAACATCTGTTCCTTTTCTAAGTTCTCCAGACTTCCTTCCCCTTGACCGTATCACAAAGGCTCTCTTTTTTAGCAAGGCTGCCTTCTTGATAGTCCATCACCATTATCTTCTTGTTCTGCAGAGCAGCTTGAATCACTGGATCTTGCAGAGCTTCCAGTCCTTTCAGCTCAAGGCCAGGATCTCAATTCAAGCATCCTGATTTACAGACAGGGTTGTTAAACTCCTTCCCTGCCTCTTATTTAACACTCCACGGCTTCCTGTCCTGGGAGGCAACCAAACTGCCACAAGAAATGCCAGCCTCTGTTCAACACCCACAATCCCCGTGACACTGAACACTTAAAACAATTATGTTACTCCCAAACCTTGCACTGCAACAGCTTTTACTCCACAAAAGTGCAGAGATGAGCAAAAATTACTTCAGCACGAAGGAGCCTGAGCCGGTTCTTCGCTGAACCTCACAGCATTCCGAGTTAACATTCAGGCTTGGCACGACCCGCCATCCGCTCGAACACACAGCACAGTGTCACCCCTCAAAACCCCACTGTTCAACCTAAAGGCACTTTCTCTCTCTCTCTCTCTCTTTTTTTTTTTGGATTTTCAGGGTGCGTCAGCTGCTCACTGAAACAGTGGGAATGCTCCATTTAGCACACACACACTTGTTAAACTGCTCACAGCATGCAAATAAAACACCGCATTGTGCAAAAGTCATTCAGAGCCTCCCCATCCGTAGATATGAGCAGTGGAACCGCGGCCAGGAAAGAGAAACTTGGAACAACATGCAAATATTTCAGTCCCTTATTCCCAACGTTCACATCCCAGGCTGGAGCCCACAGCCCTGTCATGCTGAGGGGTGACCATGTCGAGAGTCTCCTCCATGCAACGGGTGGGAAAACAACCATTATCTGTCTTGCCCCGGGACTGCACCCTTTTATTTGTAGTTATTACTGCAAACTGCCTTTTTTTCCAGACAATGGTTGTGTTATTATAGGTACCTTCATGCCGTGCCAAAGCACATACACACAGCAATTCAGAACAATCAGCCTTGTTTTCATGGGAGCAAAGGTTGCAGCCAAATGAAATGGGTGGAGATCACATTAAACAATCTTGGAATCTGCTAATAGGATATAGGAAAATGTGACCATAATGCAGATGCGGAGTTCCCCTTTCACCTTCCAATGTTATGGATAAAATAAAAGCTTTGGAAAACCAATTAAACTGTTTGAACAACATTAAGCAAGTTGAAGTGCTCTCAGGGTTCTTACAAGACCACTGAGAAGCTCTTTAAAATTAAAACAAAGAAATGCCCTTTCAAAGCTCTGAAACCAGGGAGCCTTTCCCCACCCCAGAACACCACCTGCTTTAAAGACATGGGACACCTGCAAGTCATCTCCTTCTCCAAGGTAAAGAAAAGCTCACCAAGACAACTGTTCCAGTCTTAAAGACATGATCAGCACCTTCTTTAAGCGGGGAGTTTTCGTACTGAGGCACCTTGCTTGGTCAGCTGTAACCTGCATTCCCCTTGTTTGCTTTTGAGATGTGCATTAGTCAGCTTTCTCCTCCACAAATCTGATTGTGCCTCTGCATGATCGTACACTGAAGTCATGTCCTTGAGCGTGTGACATCAGTCTGTTGCCATGGCAATGCACAGGGCAGTCCAAAATTCAGTATTATGGCATCACTGTGGGATCAGACAGCGGAACAAGCCAACGCCTCAGAGCTGGTTAATGCAGCACGAACAGCCAAGACATTTCAATCTAAATGTTAAAGTGTGACTGCACTTTATCACACAATATTCCTCATAAATATGGCTGGAAGCCTCAAGAAAGACGATCCAGAAGGTCACTGAAGACAAACAGAGCCATCATGCATCACTAAAGAAGGGCAATATGTTTCCAAGGATGGCCACCAAGTATGAAGAAAGCTTAGTTCAGCTCTCTGAATAGAAACCACCATCTGTTCCTAAGGCAACACCAGACCTGCCTAAAGAGATCGTTCACAGAGAAACAGGGATGGCCCCCCGGCACCCTCGGGCCAAGGGCTGGGTTGCACAGTTTTTCTGGAAATCAGAGACTGGAGCATCACAGCCCTGTCAGCCCTTTCCAAGAGAAAGCATTACATAAGACACAGTTCTTCAATTTCGAGCTGTGAAGCAAAGATCATCATTAACCCAACCTGTAACAAAGCCATGTAGTTAAAAAAGGGTGGTACCTTCCAAGAGTTGTTATTCCATGTAGGGTTAGACATTACAGTTCTGTAGGTTCCTTGCACACTCACGAGAATGGCATTTCTGAAGAGCAAAAGGGAAGGAAAAAGGAAATTAGTGACACAGTAACAGTGTTACAACCACCAACCAGCTCTTAAGACACAAAAGACCGATTTGCCCAGAGCAAAAGGGCACATGGGAACAGGCACCCCTGCACTGCTGACGTGGAGCACCACCAATTCAAGGTCTTCAGTGCTGACTGACCGAGTACACCCCAAAAAGAGCCCACCAACTACAGGTGGCTGGGCAGAAGGCACTTTGGCACCCTGGCAGCCCAGGGTGCAGGGACAGCAAAGAGGAGGAACACAAAGCTCCCAGTAGCCAGGCTGGACCCCTTTCTTTACCTGCTCCCATCAAACACCACATGTTCAGGGGTTCCCAGTCGCTGCTCTAAACACCCAAATTCCTCAAGACCCTTGAGTGCCACCGCTTCTGCACGGCAGCTTCTGTGAAAACCAGCCCCTCCCCGCACGCTTGACTGCTTTCATTTCGCCTCCTTCCGCTTTCCCTTATTAATCCACGTGTCTCCCACAGCTCACTCAGCACCTCCCTCTGCAAAGCTGACCTCCATCCTCCCCATAACCCCGGACGCACCCACAATTTCTTCACGCTGCCATTAACGAGGCACGTTTCACGTTCTCGGCACGGATGCAACCCTCACCCTCTCCTAACCCCTCCACCCATGTCCCTGGCTGTAATTACCCCACACCTCGTTATCTAACACCCAACACAAGCCTTGGGGCTGGGAACCATTGTTTATTTGGCTCTGCGACGTCACACACCCCGGTGGCGTTGTATAAATAAATTCCACAACCTGTTTGAGCCTGAGCTTGATTCAGACCTGAATTATCCCAGTTTCTAAGTGACTGCTGCAAATACCTTCACTTGCTGCTTTAGCAACACCAGCTTACACAACCAGCCACCACAGGCAGCTCCAGTGCCACTCACCACGGCAGCCAATTGCTCCCACGGACCACAACTGCACAAAAAACACCTTAAATCCCTCTACTTTTAAATACAAGTTGCAGATTACAAAGGGGAGAGGCAGGCAGAGGCATACTGCCCTCAGCAATGTGCCTGTCACCTGAAGGACAAGCTCCACGGGCCAGTGTCACCTCTCAGCCACCAAAGCATGCAGGCTTTGCCCCAGTCTCAGCCCTTACACCCAGCAGATTACCCTGTCACGAGCCTGAAGTACCACTAAGGATGAGATTCTGGAAGCAGCTTTACACCAAACGGATTTCAGAGCGAAATAAAGCCAGCAGGCTTCATCTCCATGGAGCTCCTGCAACACAACATAGGTTGAGCAAGTTACTCAGGGCAGAGGTCTTTCTTATTAACTACCTAGTAAATTCAGATTAAAGTCAGACAGCTTTTCCCCCTCCCTCACATAAAAATCAGATGCTATCCAGCCCCGAGGAATCAATCCAGCTCCTGCAATAAGGAAAACCTGCTCGCAGCCACATGACACCACACACAATCCAGAAGACTGTGGCCCTTCAGATACTCATTAAACTTTTTTCCCCTAGAAAAGTCTCCAGCAAAGGATAATTTGCCTTCAATTCATTTTCTACAGTCAGGATGGATGGTAACTAAGTACTGGATATGGAAGCACATGAGAAGTCCCAGGGCAGCCATCCCAGCTCATGGACACATCAGTGCAAAAACCTGTGGACAGTCACCACCTACTGCCCCAGCCACGTGTGCCGGTTCCAGCATCCATGTGATGCTTCAGAGGGGCAATCAAAGCCCTGAGCCAAACACAGGGAGGAGGGGAAGGAAGCACCAAGACACAACACAACCATTAAGAGGTAAACAGAGGCCTGAGAAGAGCCAAGGCTGGGGGGCTGCTGTGGAAGCTCAGTTAACACACTTCAAGACAAGGAGCGGAGAATAAGTCAACTCACCATCCCCAAATGGTCACAAGAGCCTTGTCAACTTGCACAGACTGAAGACCAGTTCCAAAAAAACACTAAGCACGGCGTTGGGAAGGCAAATGGACCGTTTTGAGAACATAGGATTAGCTTTTTTACTGGAGAAGGGGAACACAACAGCAGCACACACAACAACTAACACTGTGGGTTTGAGACACCTGTGAGAGACATCGTTTTATGAGCCAGCAGTTCATGTCAACACAGAAGATGCCAAAATCTTGCTGTATGTGATGGTGTTTACAGGTGGAGGAGCTCTGCCCTCTCATAGGAAGGAGCTGTGCTTTGCAGACCCTTCCTGACTACCCAGCTGAACCTCCTGTCCACAGGCAAGTCCCTTTCCATCTACACTACCCTCGGAGCAGGTTGGCCAACACAAAAGTTATCATATCACAGCCCATCTTCTGGCTTTTTTTCCCTACAAAGGCAAGGCCCCCAATCTCTTTTAAAAAGGCAGTGTGGTACTCCCACACCAGACTCATATCCTGCATTATTCTCTCAAGGAAACTGTGGCAAAGATCACTGGGTTATCTCCACCACAGGCTGGGGGTCAGGGAGCCCTGCTGCCAGATAACACTCCAGGCTTAAACCTGGTTTTTATTTAGGCAATACCCAACCCAGCCTGGCAGCCTCCTGTCCCTGCAACATCAGTGGCTAAAAAGGGATGCAGGAGTCTGATCAGCTACAGATTTCCACAGAATCCCAGAATGGTTTAAGTTGGAAGGGACCACAGTGGGTCATCTGGTTCATCCTTCCTGCCCAAGCAGGATTATCTCAGAGCACATGGCACAGGATTGTGTCCAGAGGGTTCTGAAATACCTCCAGTGAGGGAAACTCCACAGCCTCTCTGGGCAATCTGTTCCAGTGTGTGGTCACTTGCACAGCACAGGAAAGAAGTATTTTCCCCCTATACAAATAAATAAATACCCCTCTTAAAAAGGTGATGCAGTTGATGTCATTAAAAGAAGCCACACTGTTCTTATCAAAGCCTGGACCCACTCCAGGACATGATGAGCAGGTCCCTTTGCAAAGCACATTTGGGCCTTTCCCTCTGAAAGCCACCTTAAAAATATAAGACCCAACTAAGTGGGCCTCATACTCCTTAATCCTTTGAAATTCACCATCACTTCACCTTATTTATTCCAAGAGCTTAATGCTGCAGCTGGACCTACATGATCAACCCTATCAGCCAAGTTACGACCAACACAACCAAGCCCAAACTTACAAAAACTATTAACTCGTAAAAAGTGTTATCACATTTTCTCTCCCAAAACATTTAACCTGCTAACAAGTATCTGTCTCAGTGTGTTACCATCCTCCCATTGTCCTGATCTGAGTTAGCAGGCTTACCCTAAAACACAGCAAGAGCCAAGAGCACTCATCCAAGCAGAGCCTGCAAGAACAGACCCCCTTTGGGGCAGCGACAGTTGAGGTCGATTTAATGCGAAAACAAACTACTTTTCCATTCAAGTCCAAAGCAGAGACAAAGAATTTTATGTGGCTCAGATTGCACAGTCAGCTGTCTTTTTAGGAACAGATCGGATTTAACAGTTCTATGGCAGTCCAGAAAAAAAAAAAAATAAAAATGAGCCTGACAGAAGTTTATGGTTTGGCCAGTACTGCACTGTGCAAAATCCAGGCACTTGTCTGCAGTGCTCTCATGGCCTTCAGCCGGTACCTCAAAGTCATCATCATCAACATCAGTTCCAAAAAGGTATTTTGAGAGACACTGGAACAGGCTGCCCAGAGAAGCTGTGGCTGCCTCATCCCTGGAAGTGTTCCAGGCCAGGTTGGACAGGGCTTGGAGCAACCTGGGATAGTGGAAGGTGTCCCTGCCCATGGCAGGGGGATGGAACAAGATGAGCTTTAAGGTCCCTTCCAACCCAAACCATTCAGGATGTTGTGATTTTTCAGGATTCAGCCTGATGCACAAATGCATTTTTATCTCATTTCAAAGAAAGACAAAATTCCTCTCTGAAGCTCTGCCCAATCATTCTCTCTCACATCACACAGATTGCATTTAACACCATTTCTACACTGGAGAACCGAAATGACACCATTTGTCAATGAGACCACTCTCACCACAGGGACCCATATTCTGAAGCAGCAGAGATGTGCTCAGGCTCTTCAGCTTAACTATTTTGGGGCCTAATGCAGACAGAGAAACTAATATTAGCATGTATTGCTATGGAAAGGAATATAATCCAAACCTTCACTGGTTTATATCTAAACCCTTTGAGACATCCAACGTCAATGCTAAACAAATCTTCACCTGGCAAACACTTGGAGAGCCTTCAGCTGAAGCTGCCAGGTAAGGGAATGCAGTATTTGGGGATATTTTTGCTACATACACTGGGGACATACCTCTGAAACACACAAAGCCCAGAGAAGCTTCATGACAGCTGCAAAAACAACTTTGTCCTGGCTAACATTCACATAATGAAATTACAGCTTCACTCCAGGGAAAAAGGAAAAAGCACTTAAGTTTTGTTTAGATTGAAGTGCTTCGAGCCACACCACTTATCTGCTATCAGAGCAGATTGCAGGGCTGCTCCAATGATTATTCTGTAATGAAGTAACTGGAATTGGAAGGTATGCAATTAGTCCTATCTCCTCCTCTGCCACCCCCCTAACAAGAAAAAAACCAGCACAGACGTTATCACCTCTTCCTCTAGCTCTGCTACTCTCATTTAAAATACCCACAAAGCAAAGTAGGGCTGTCACAAGCTGCTAACAAGCCTGTCTTGGCCCTGACTGCCAGCAAAGGTGATATTATCAGCATCTCCCCAGGAGAAAGTTACTGGGTTACCTAATGGGATGCTTTCTCAGGTACCCCCCCACACACACATTTATATTAAGCTTAACATGCCTGCATTTAGCTATTTCAGTAAAAGCAAACCACTTTTGAGATGGAAAAAAAAAAAAGGCACTGCTGTACCTACCAGCTTTAAGTTCAAGCATCTCTCATTAATCCTCCTGGGCACGATCACTGGGAAGTGAATATATTAAACTCAGGACACAGGTATTGCTTGCTGGCACTCTGGATAGGTTTACTGACTCCAGCCTGGCTCATTTTACCTGGGTCATTTGCCC